GCTCCTGAAATGATCTATTCTGACACATGTTAGCCGATTTATCGATGCATTTTCATGTGATTCGCTTCCTTACTCGGCCAACCGAGGCCCATTACCTCCGGGGTTTGTTCGAAAGATCAACGGTCGAGGACATAACATACCTGGGTGGGCGGGGAGTGGGAGACGAACAATCAAACCCACCTCACCGAACCACTCATTCTGGCTCGGCAACTCATTCAAAAAGTATTTTTATTTGTCTAAGGACTAATCACTTCACTCCGACTGGACGGGGTTTTGGTAGATCCGGTCCAAACGGTGGTGTGACGGCAGATGCACCAATCACTTTGTTGGGTTCCTGGTATAATGTAATTGGTTGAATTCTCTTGAAGTTACAACGGATTCACTTGAAGTTGAAATGGTATAGTCAATGATTCGATGAGCAACTCTCATTGGACCAAACGGCAAGCAACCACGATCTCGATCAGGGAAATCCGGGCGTGCATGTTGAAAGGCGGTCGAAGGGCCACATAATCAGATATGAACTGGCATGGTGTACCGACACGGGGGAAGTGGGATGCAGGTAACAAAAACATCGAGCAAAAAGGTTCAATACGTAGGCGCATAGAATAAGCTCATGTGAAAACAGCTACTGTGGATCAAAAGGTGGTCAATAAATGCGGTCAATAAGCAACCGAAAACTATAAAAACTGGGAATATCGAGGGAAAAGGTAAGATAGACTGAACACCGCTACCACTAATCCGGCACGATGTTTATTTCGACCCTACTAGCTACCATGCCCTCTCATAACGGTTCCATACGAAAATGGTATTGTATAGTATTGCCACAATCACAGAAATCGAGTGGGGGGACACCTTACTCGCGAGTGGTTACCCTATTGGTCGTCGGCCAGTTCTAGTAGACAATATACGATTGCCCCGCAGAACACGGCCCTTCAGAGGCCTCATAGTGTTCAAAATAAAGTATTGTTTCATTCAGCCTGTGTTGCGGTTAAATGTGCATCCACATTCCTTTGTGATTGCTGTTTAACCAATAGAGAAAAACAGCGTTGCGAACCGATTTTATCTCCGGATAAGGATTTATTGATGTCCATGACATCAGGTTACCGATATCTTCTGGTTGTTGTTCAAAGGAGAAAAGCGTAGATAAGTTGCACTCAAACAAATCTTAGCATTATTCGATCAGCTCAATGCACATGAATGTTTGATTGAATTTCATTCCCTCACAATGTGCTACCGATGAATGAATGTACGAAACTAACGCAGAGGTCAGGAAATCCAGTTCTTCGAACTTGACCCTGATGATCAAGGCTAACGGGATGACGCAAATCACCGGGACACACCTTACAGTTTCCGGACAACTGGCATGAGTGACGCCAGCAAAGTTCCTACGAGTTACGGCTTCTGGACTACGAATCATAGGCCGATTGTGCCGATAAATCAGAAGCCGTGCTGACCAGACAGAAGCTATACGACGGCAGGAAAACGAACCCATGATTGGTAGATACCTGGACGACCAATGAACTTCTTTTGTACATATTATTTAAACCCCATAATTTCTTCCAACAAATGAAATGCTACTCCTGAGTCCTTTTCTTTGTGTCTCGGCTGCGTGAGATAGTGTCGTACAAGTACAAGCGTGATTCACTGTTTACGTGGCGTCCGCGATTTCGGACGTGCGATTCGTAATTCGTGATCGGTGCGTAATTCAACTATTGCAGTGACCACCTCCTCCGGTTATCCAATTTTCCAAGGTTGCACTTTTCGTTGACAGTGAATAGCGTATTGGAAATTGTAGAATACCTAGATTCAATACATATTCCTA